CGCTCGCTGGCGAGCGCGCGCGCGCCTGCGCAGAGGGACGAGGAAACTGGGTCCCCGTTAGGTCCCGGCGCTTGCGCGCTGTGGGCTCCGGGCCTCCCGGCCTGAGGGAGAGGAGCAGGGAAGATGGCGGCTGTGGTGGAAAATGTAGTGAAGCTGTGAGTGGTCGTTCCTTTCTCTCCGAGGCCAGGAGGTCTTGTAAGGGCACTGGGAGGAGCGGGCGGTGCGGGAGGGAACGAGGCGAAGAGAGGGACGTGCCCGGGAAGGCCATGTTGCGACTCCTGCTGGGGAGGACAACTGGAGACTCTGGAGAAGACGTTGCGCTTCTTTGGAAACTTGTGGAGGCCCTGAGGGGGGCACACGGGAGCTCCTCCCGGGCAGCCTCCCTGGGCTCTGCGGGGCTGTGCGGCCCGAGCGCTCCTTCGGGGTTACGGTTTCCAGACTATGGCGCCCTCGTTTGCGTACGAGAGACACAGTCCCGGGCTCGCTCCCGAGACGCCGCAGTCCGGAGGAGCCGGGCCGAGGGCGGACCCGCGCCGACCCGTGTCCCCGCCAAGCCCGGCCCCAGACCCCTCCCCATCGGCTGCCGGTCCTGGAGCAACAGGCTCGGCAGCTCTGCGCCGTGAAGCACCGCGGAGCTGTTTTGTGCTAAACAGCCCCGTGACTTGGGGGAGGGGACGGGAGCGTCTTGGGTACCAGGTACCCAGGACCAGAAATATTCTCGGGGAGCAAATATGTTGAAGAGCAAATACAGAAGGGAAAGAACTTGAGGGGAGAAGCCTTTTGCGCCGGCTCGTCCCAGCCGTCCAAACACGGGAACAGCCCGGGACGTCTTTGCAGCCTGCAGGGGCGTCTGTGTAGGTCGGCAGTGCCCTTGCGCTGGGCAGATGTCGAGCAAAGTTAAAGGTAATGGTCGTTGGGGAAATGGCCTGTTAGCTCTGAGTTAAAGATGCTTTGGGACTTGATTTAACCCAGCCTCCTCCCTGAAGAAGAATCTGAATGAGTTTTGAAATGGGTTCGTGCCCCGTGGGCGAATAGAGAGCGGGCTCTTTTTAATTGGACTTGGTGCTAGGGTAGGACAACTGAGAGCTGTCTATTTGTCTAGTCGGGGCTTTTGGATTTTGACTGGATGACAAGGTAATACCGGTTTGGGAACTACTCTCAGGAGCTCACAGCTTCTCATTTTCGTCTTTGTGGTGGGCTGAGCCCACTCTTCCCAAGAGCCTTTTATGAGGGTACATAGCTTCTCCCCCCTCCTGGAGCCTTTTCTTTGAGAATGCTTTCCCACTTCCATTAAGCTAAGTGCCTTCTCCTCCTCTTATGTGTGTGTGTGTGTGTTTAACTTGCTTTCAGCTCTATCCTGCTGCCTCTTTCAGCCATCCCTCCTCCCAACACTATTATCTTTCTCTCTGATCTGCCCACTCCAGTTTCCCCAGCTCTTTCTTCAGGCTGACATTTCCCTCAATTTAGAAGTAAGGCTGTTGATCTACCTTTTATATAGTTATTCTTCCTGACTCAGACGTTCTTTCTTTGTTTCTCTGCCTTTCTCTTTGTTGACTCCCCCCATCCCATTGTAAGGGGAGGTTTTACACAGGTTTCATGCGTCTCCAAAAAGAAAGCTTCCACCTTAGAAATCTTACTATGCTGGGGGAATGTCAGACTTGCCTAGGTTTTGAGAGTTACATGTAATGAGATTTTCCGTGTCGAAAGACTATCTTCAGGAAAATAGGATTGCCAGTCCTTTTGTGTAGTGTTAGAAGTGAGAGGTTGCCTAGTTAAATAGAGCGTGGCTTCTTATTTGTCTTTAAAGAGCTGTGGACATCGTGAGGGTCACCAGCCACTGGTTCCTGAGTATCAGTAACGAGAAATGAACTTTCTCCTCGGTTGCAGCTTTAGAGGGCTGTGGGTCACAATTAATACATTTTCCTACATAACTTTCTCCTGAGAAGGAACTTCCATTCTCCCTGGACCATTCTCACCCAGGAAAGAGAGGCTTTTCTGTTGCTTTTCTTGATCATGGTGTGCCTAGCCTTCTGACAGCCGAGGTTATACATCAAGATCAGGACTACTAACTCAATTTTTCTGACTCGCATCTTGTTCTGAGAGAAGAATTTTCATATTCGTAAATTCTGTCTCTCCCAAATGTGGTGTCAGAATTGAACCGGTCTTTAAGGTGTCTTATTAGGGTAAAATAATAGTATAAAATAGCTGTGGCTGCTGACTAGTTTTGAAACCTTCTGAATTAGATAAGAAGATCTAGAGAATAATATTAGCTTCAATTTCTTGCATTAGGAGCCTTAAGTTCTTAGGAGCTCTCATTCTCGCTCTCCTTATCAGATCCTTCCCCCCACCCCCAACTCGTGCTTCATTCCCAGCTCCTTTACTCACGAGACAGTTTGCCCCACCTTCTGAAATTCCACTTAACTCAAAGAACTTTGATAGAACATCTCTGATTCATTTTCCCTAAACTGTTTCCAGCCTTCTTACTCTGACTTTGCAGCTCTCAGCCCTGCTGGCCCCTTCCTTCCATTTGACTTCCAGTGTCAGTATCAATTCCCATCAGCAGAAACAAAGGAGCTGCTGCACTCAGCCTTGTTTATCCAATTTTCCTCTGTATTATGAGGACATGGCTGCCTCCTAAAGGCAAGCAAATGTGAGCCTGTTCATCCTCTCCACTCCAACACAAGATTCATGCCTACCTCAAATTAATCATTATAGCTCATTGAATCAAGCCAGGCAGTTTTGTGAAGTCACCGCCTTGAGTGTGGTGTGTGTGTGTTTCATTTGCTGGGAACATGCTAAGCTGTGCCTAAGTGGTCTATTGTGGCTGCTCAGTGAAAGCCTCCCTCGGATTCCAGAGCAAGGTTTGTTGGCATAGCTCAAGTTATGGACGTAAGCAACAGAGACTCACTCTGTCCAGCTTCTCATGCAAGGGGTCTCTCTCAGAATATGTTAGCGCTTTTCTAGTCCAACTTCCCCAGTCTATAGCTCTCCACATTTATTTGGTGACTTTCAGCCAGGCCAGGTCTTTTTACTCCAAATCAAATCAAGATTCCCCAGACACCTTCACAGGTACTGAGGATACTATGGGAAAGAAATAACCTCTGCCCTCTATTTATTTTAAGTTTGATCAAATACATAAATATGAATTGTTATAGTTTAAGTTCCAGTGCTAAAGTGCTTATTAAACCCTGAAGGATGAGAACAAGATTGGTTCTATATATATTCTCGTAAGAACCAGATAACTTCTGGCACGGTACAGTTTTCCAGCTTCTAAGAGCACTTAAAAGTTTACCTTTGAATAAAGTTTCAAATTGAGTCTTTTGAGTCCAAGATTCGTTCTTATATAATTTGATGGTGTGAAAAATGGAGACGGGTCTGGGATGGGCTTTGAGCAAACAGGTGTTGTATTGGTGTAATGGTATTCAGTGAAGAGTTGGCTTCACGCAAGTTCGGGTGTTTTCAGATGTTTTCCATTGACTATAAAATTAGTATATAGAATTAATTAGTTGCCTGAGTATCTAGTTCAAAATTCAAACGATATAAATGAGTGTGTCGGAGAATGTCCCCTAGTCACCTGGTTTTTCTTCCTGGAGGCCTACAGTTTCTTTTCCACCTCTTTGTTTCATAATTGGTGGCATCCTATAAATTTCTCAGCACTGAACCTTGCTTTTTTTTTTTCTGGTTATCTGGGAGATCTGAATATAAG